TTGCTTTTCTCTGTAGCAAAGGGTGTGGCCCTCTACCTATCTCTTGCGTGTATATTGACAACCTTTTATAGAAAGAGGACATTGGTTGCCATGTCTCCCCTGCTTTACCCATGGCAGGTTATGGTGGTTGGTCTGTGTTGTGTCAGGGTTGACAGTAGTCTTATTGGCTAAGTAGACAGTCAAAAAGCCTAGGCTGAAGTGATTCAATCTTTGAAAGGTTTTTTTAACTTCATAGATTGAACCAATAAGCAAGTGAACTGAAGTTCACTTTTCAAACAAAAAAGGCAGCCCAGTCCCTGCAGTGGCCCATGCTAATAGCCAGGAGGTGCTGGAGCATGCCTCCCAGGGAGGGTAAGCTGAAACTGTGTCCCCCCACACCCCCAGGTGGGATTGGGACTGGAATCTCCTAGATATGCCCCCTTCTCAGCCTCCCAGCTGGCTGAGACAGCAGGGAAGAAAAGCCTGCACCTGGGCTTGGCTCTGTCCCCAGAGCTGGAAGCCAGGAGTCACACCCACTCCTCAGACTCCAGGCTCAATGCGGGGAAAGCCCACAGAAGGTCCTGGCTCCATCCCCTCCCCAAGCTGGGAGTAGGGCTGGAGTCCCCTAGTCATGCCCCCGTCTCAGCCTCTGGTCAAGCTGAGGGGAGAAGGGCAGAAGGAGGGGCTTGTCTCTATCCCCACCCCCTGCTCCCACAGCTGGAAGCCATGGCTCCTTCTCAGCCTCTGGCCTGGCTGAGGACAAGGGGTAGAAAAAAGCCCTCATTGGTGCTTCAGGGGTGGCTGAGGGAAGAAGAGAGTGGGAAAAGGAGGGAGAGGAGAAACCTGCACCCAGGCCCCTTTCTCAGCTTCTGGGCTGGCTGGGAGGAAGGAGAAGCCAGTACTGAGCCTTGGCTCTGCCTCCCAGAGCCAGAAGCAGGGCTGGAGTCCCTTTGCCATGCTCCCTTTTCAGCCTCTGGACCAGCTGAGAGTTGGGTTGTGGCTTGCAGCGCTGGGTAGCAGAGCCAAGACTTGCTGTGGGCTTCTGCTCCCACCTTGCCCTCAGCCAGCCCAAAGGCTAAGAAGTGGAAATGGCTCCTGGCAAGCCAAGCCCCAGCGCAGGCTTCTCCTCTCTTCTCCCTCCTTCCTCCCCTCCCCTCTCCCCTCAGCCAGCCCAGAGTCTGAGAAGGGGCATGGATCCTGACCCAAGAGGCAAATCCAAGCTCTGTATCTGGTGTTGACAGTAATATTACTGGCTAAGTAGACAGTCAAAAAGCCTGAGGCTGAAGTGATTCAGTCTTTGCAAGGGGTTATCCACACTTCTCAACCAGACCAGAGACTGACAGGGGGGTGTGACTCCCAGCTCCTGTGCTGGAGGACGACACATTCTCCCTCCCTTCCGCAGGCTGGCAGCACCCAGCTGAGAGTCTGGTTCCCTCCTTCCTCCTGGCGGCACACCAATCCAACCAGCAGCACCTGGCTGGGGGTATGGTGCTGTGCCATCCAAAGTGATAGTGCTCTGGCTAGGAGCGGGGGGGAGGGCGGGGCAGGGAAGACCCTGCTTGTTGGAGCAGACAGCACAGCCCAGGGCTGCAAACCATCGTGGGATTCTGAGGGACTGAGTTAACTTGAACCAGGAGGGAATCTGGGACAGAAGTTCCACAAACCAGTTTGACCTAAATCAGTTAAGTCTGATACTACATCCAACCAGGTTTATATTAAAACAGTATCAGCTATTTTGAAAGTGGTTTAAGTGCACTTAACTTCTGTTCTGCTACAAGTTTAAACTGGTTTCTGATTACTTAAACTAGTTTATGCATAACTTCTGTCCCTAGCCATGTAGAGTTTAGATTATGGACTGTATAGGATGGTTTAGATAAGGATGATGACCTCTAGAGGGACTAGATGACCTCTAGAGGTCCCTTCCAGCCCTAATTCTCTATGATTCTATATAAGTAGAGACAGACAGATTTTGTATGACTTGATATTCCAAAATAATCCTACCACCAATGTGCAGTTTGTTATTAGCTTCTCTTTCCTTAAAAAAGGAAAGGTGACCAATCACAATCAGAATAACAGATGACAAATAATTAAAATGTACAGTTCACAAGCCATTTTTGGCTGATGCTTATTCATGAGAACTATTAGTCAAATATAAACAAAAAAATGAGAAATGAGGCTCAGTTTGTGAATAATTTTTAAATGAAATTTAGTAAAAAATATTTGTAACAAATTATGTGGTCAGATTTAGTTTCCTATGCTGGGAACTCTACTGTTGTAAAAATGAAATCATAAAAATTACAATAGTGTCTGGATCATTTTTGTTTCTTACTTTGACATTCTTTTACTTGAATTGTAACTCTTTGTAGTAGGTGTCCTGTTTTGTTCTCTTTTTGTGCAATTATTAGTATTATGGGGTACTCATCTGTGACTTGGAGTCCTGGGCATAACTAGAAGAGTGCTAATATTAATGAGCTTATTGGACAGTACTCCTTTTCTTTGCATTGACAGACACTCGGGCCCGTGGCACATGTTACATTTATGATGTGATTAAGGTGTCAACCATAGCACAGTGCTACACATGTAAGCAATACATGGTGCCATGAAATGGCGAACCATCCACAAAGATATTCAGCAAAATATATGGAACACTTTTGTGGCTTGTTTGTATGCCATAAATTGAACATGCAGCACTCCCAGTCCTGGATCTGTCTCAGCTGATTGTGAGGTCCAGTTCCAGACAGCCCCAAATCTGGAACTGGCTCAGGGCTGGGGATGGCCCTGGGTCTAGGAGAGAGCTGCCACCTGCCTTATTCTCAGGATCAAGTAATGTTATGCTCTATCCCAAACATTGCATGTCTGGCCTAGCAGGAAGCTCAGTGTTGGGGCTGAGACATAAAGGGTGCTGACAGATTTAAAAACAAACAAACAAAACAACAAAACAAAACAACAAAAAAGGATGATTTTTTTAAATTTGGCATGTTCCTGCACTGACCCCCATCCATTCTCTGAAGAGGCTGGGCATTACTTCAACCCAGTTCTGCAGTGTCTGTAAAGACTGGGTGCTTTAGTGGGGTTGTTTAGGAGTTTTTATCTAATAGATGATTGAATCAGCTTTAGCTAAAAGGAACAAAAAGTCCCACTGAAGCACCCAATCTTTACAGATGCTGCAGCCAGGCTGAAGTAACATGCTGCTTTTTCTGGTAAAGTGTGTTTTTTTGGTTTTGTTTTTAACATCTGCAAGCAGCCAAAATTCCTCTGATTCTACTTGTGACATTGTTTTAACAACTGCCAAGTGTCTTAATAAACTCATAAACATATGACTTGATCACCCAAAAATTATGAATACAAGAATATGTGAATACCCCTTTGAGCTCAGTTGAACTACGTATGAAGTTAAATATGTGCATGTTTGCAGATAAGAGATAATATTTGTTTCACTGATATAGATACACTCTTTTTATTTTCAGGCAGGATTTTGGAGGCTATTAGCACAGAAGATTTGAAAAATAGTACACTCATTTATTTTGCCTCTGACCATGGTGGATTTTTGGAAGCTCAAGAAGGAAAAGCCCAGATGGGTGGTTGGAATGGAATATACAAAGGTAAGAACTGTTGTGAAAAATGAGCTCCTGAAAAATACAAATTGATACAATCAAGAGTCAGCATTGAAAAACTGAGGCATACCTAAAGCTTGACTGGCCAAAAAACAAGGCTTTTGCCATTACAAAAGGAATTGATAAAGGCATTCCTATTTTTCTTACAGTAATAACATATTCAAAGAAGGATAGGGACTATACTAATATATAGTATTATTTAATGAGGAAGGTGTCAAACCTGATTGTCTATAGAAAGCTGGCTGATCACATGTTAAGCTGCTTTCAAACATTTATACTCCCATTAAACACGTTTACAGTGTTTAATTTTAGATATAAATAATTTCCTTAGTTTCAACAAGAATATTATATGATTGTAAATGGAAAGTGGCCTAAGGAACTGTAAATAGTGTGGGAGAATGGCAATCATGCAGCAATTTCTATATTAAAATGTAATCCACACTATTTTCTAGTATTTTCTTTTTCCTGTAAGGCAAAGGAGAGTCAATAGATGGACTAAGGTGCTGAAGAAGTCAGCTGAAGAGAAACAGCTTAAATGATTATAACATATCTAAATTTGTTTCTGAGGTGAAAAAACAAAGATAAAACTGAAAAAGTCAGAAAGGCTTAACTGACTAAACCAGAAATGCTTGGCAGGATAAATAGACTCCATTCCATGCATACCGTGGCTGCATCCAGACAAGCATGGCCATGCAGTACGTAGCACTGCAGACACATCTGTAGCACCAGATACTTAACGTTCAGTTGTTCTCCATGCTGCAAAGGAGAAGCATGGAGGGTTTTTCTGACCCCTAGATATTCAGAGGTCAAAACAACCCCTCAGAAAAAAAAACCAGAGTGTCACACATGGCAGCAGCATGTGCCACCCAAAGCCAGAGCCTGGCCATCCACATACATGCTCCACTGCTGGCCAGGATCCATGCAGCAGGATCACCACTGCATGGATGCCCAAGATGCCCCCCATGACCCCAGGTAAGGCTGCTGGGGTCAGCCAGTGCTTGCCCCAGCCTCCCCTACCCCACTTAGGGTAAATTTTTACACACCAGAGCATGCATGAGACAGTCATTCCCTGGGGACAACTAGTGATGGCACAAAGTGCACCATGTTTAGTTGTCCCTGGGGAATCAAACATCCATGCATGTGTGGACAAAGCCCACATTTATAAATTTCCTTCTTATTTTTTAATACTAGGTGGAAAAGCTATGGGAGGCTGGGAAGGAGGAATCCGTGTGCCAGGGATATTTAGGTGGCCAGGAATGTTACCTACAGACATAGTCATCGATGAACCTACAAGCCTTATGGACATTTTCCCTACGGTGGCTCATCTGGCGGGTGGGACAGTGCCACAGGACAGGTACTGACCCTATAAAACTACTGTGGCCAAACTGCAGCTCACGAGCAGCATGCGGCTCACTGGCATGGCCCTTGAGGCTTTCCAGAAAGTGGCCAAAGCCCTGCACACTTCTCCCTGAGGCAGCTTCAGGGGACAGCACAGCCCAGCACCTCCCGCTGCTCAGGTGCCGAACTGCTGATGCGGGGCCTGCAGCCATGGCACTAAACCTGGGGTGTGCTTCTCATGGGGAAAGCTGGAGTGGCTTGGCAGTGCAGGGGGGGTGGGGGTGGTCACTTCCACTCCAGGTCGCTCAGCACACCCCCCACCCCCCACTCCTTCCCCGCTTTCTGGCTCTTGAACTTCAGTGGAGGATCGGATGTGGCTCCCAAGATGAGTAACTCTGGCCACCACTGCTCTAAAACATATTCATTCCTTTTAATTTCCAAATGCAACATGGTATCCGGTTTGAAAAATACCCTAACATGCATTTTTTCATAAGATTTCCAGTCTGTTTTTCAAATTCACATTTCATATGACACTCACAAATTGTTCACATGTCAGAGTAAAGGTGATTTAAGTGCTTTCAGTTGCAATAAGATGTCTGAATAGAGATCTGTTGTCATACAACTCAAACCTGTCTGGTGATACCTATTTTTTATATTGCACAAGGATAATTGATGGTCGGGACCTCATGCCATTACTGCAGGGAAGAGTTCAGCACTCAGAGCATGAGTTCATGTTTCACTACTGTGGTGTGCATTTACATGCAGTGCGGTGGCACCAGAAAGACAGTGAGTATGAAGGGTCTTCCAATATCCATTGGTCCTATCTTTAGAAATGTATTTGTCCAGCTCAGCTATTCTTATTTAACATTAAATAGATTGAGACTTTGTAACAAGCTCCATGGGCTAGAAAGTAGAGGTGTGCAAAATGGGCCATATTTGATTCGGATTCGGCCTGAATCAGGGACACTGATTCGATTAGTTCCACCATCACAGCATTCATGAACCACATCTGGTATGTAGAAAAAACATTTAAAGCTATGTCTATGGCCAAATCACTGATTCTCTGAATCAGCATTGAATTGGGACATTGATCAATGTCTCAATTCAATGCTGTGATGGTCGAACGGACAGAGCATCCCACAAGGGCGTGCCCCCTGCCCCCGTGCTCGGCCGTGGACCCGGAAGTGGACTGGAAGTACTTCCAGTCAACTTTTGTGTCTGCCACTGAGTGTGCTAGGGAGCACTCTTGCACCCTTTCTGGCTCGGCAATTGACCATGAGTAGACCCTGGGTCCCCCCACCAGACCCAGGAGGCACTAGTCACTGAGCTGGAGGGACGTGGAGAGGGCCCTGTGTACTCCCCGGTGGACCTGGAAATAGATTGGAAGTGCTTCTGGTCTACTTCCTGGTCTGCTGCCAAGTGCGCTGGAGACTCCCTGCACTCCTGTGGGATAGTTTCATAGTTTCATAGTTTCTAGGGTCGGAAGGGACCTGAGCAGATCATCTAGTCCGACCCCCTGCCATGGCAGGAAGAGCACTGGAGTCAAACGACCCCAGTAAGGTGGTCATCCAACCTCCTCTTAAAAACCCCCAGGGTGGGAGCCTGCACCACCTCACTTGGAAGCTGGTTCCAGACTCTAGCCACCCTGACCGTGAAGTAGCGCCTCCTGATGTCCAACTTAAACCTTCCCTCCGCCAGCTTGTGACCATTGTTCCTGGTCACTCCTTGCGGCGCTCGGGGGAACAGGGACTCCCCCAGCACCTGCTGATCCCCCCTAACCAGTTTATAACAGGCCACAAGATCCCCCCTCAGCCTTCTCTTTTGAAGGCTGAACAGGTTCAGGTCCCGCAACCTTTCCTCATAGGACCTACCCTGCTGTCCCTTGATCATACGAGTGGCCCTCCTCTGGACCCTCTCGATGCTGTCCACATCCCTCTTAAAGTGCGGCGCCCAGAACTGGACGCAGTACTCCAGCTGCGGCCTGACCAGTGCCGCATAGAGGGGGAGGATCACCTCCTTGGACCTGCTCGAGATGCATCTGTGGATGCACGACAAGGTGCAGTTGGCCTTCCTAACCGCCTCCCCACATTGCCGACTCATGTTCATCTTGGAGTCAATAATGACTCCCAGATCCTTTTCCACCTCCGTGCTGACAAGAGGGGAGTTCCCCAGCCTGTATGTATGGTGCCGATTGTTCCTCCCCAGGTGCATCACCTTACACTTGTCCGTGTTAAACCCCATCCTGTTCTCCTCCGCCCATCCTTGTAACCTATCTAGGTCTAACTGTAGCCTGGTGCTCCCCTCAATTGTGCCCACATCCCCCCACATGATGTTTCATCCACCCCATTATCTCAGCATTCATGAGCCACCTGGTACCTTGAGGTATGTAGAAAAAACATTTAAAGCTGTGTCTATGTCTGAATCATCAGATCTTTCTGAATCTCTCCAAATCAATTCCAATTTGATTCGGAGAGATTAAAGGGTCTCCTGATTTGATTTGGATTTGGAGATTCGGCCACCAAATTGAACCAAATCTCCACCAAATTGAATCAGCAACCAAAGCTTCGCACAGCCGTAGAAAGTATAGCATTGTACTATCCAGGTAAAACACTGGTAATCAGAGGGTCATAATAATTTTTAGCTGGCCTGAAATCATAATATGCTATGTGCCCCCGGAGGATCAGGTTGCTGGCCAGTTTACAGGCAAGTCTCCTATTTGATCCTTTCACTGAGTGGGGTTCAATTGCTTTAGTTCTATGTAAGCTAAATCCCATATCCAATGCAGTTGCTGTCTTATGACAGCTAAACAGCAATGTCAATCTGCTCTGTTAATTAAAAGGAAAGTATTTTACAGAGCTGCAGGATACTTTTTCCACTTTTTATTAAAAAGAAAGAGATACCAATGTTAGAAAAAGTCATAATTGGTTAAAATTATGTCTGAATGGTATGTTACATTTTGATTGTTCATGTTCATTTTAACCAGCTGAAGTGCAATGTCTACTAGACAAACTCCTGAAAAAACTAGTTTAGTATAATTCAGAATTCATCTGTATCACTTTGTATTTTGTTTCTTTTCTGCCAGGTGGTGCAATATGGAAGGCTCATTATGTGACCCCAAAATTCAGTCCAGAAGGTGCTGGAGCTTGTTATAGAATTGGAATTTGCCCATGTTTTGGAGAAGGTGTAACCCATCATGACCCTCCTCTGCTGTTTGACCTCTCACAAGACCCTTCTGAGGCCAATCTTCTCTCACCTGGCACTGAGCCCCTATTTGACACAATAATAAGCAGAATAGAAAGAGCAGTGGAAGGGCATCGCAGGACACTGACTCCAGTTCCACAACAGCTGTCTTTGTACAACATTATGTGGAAACCTTGGCTTCAGCCCTGTTGTGGGACATTTCCATTTTGTTGGTGTGATAAAGAAGATGACAGTGCACACTCTACTGTATAAAGAAAATAAATAAAAAGTGAATTTTGTGGAAAAGAATTTGGAAACCATTTTTTACTTGATCCTTTCTTTAATTTAAGATCATGCAATTTTCCAAATTAATAAAATGGGCTTGATGAAGGCCATTTTGAGAGGTAAAATATCAGTCTGAAGGGAACCAATTAGTGTATGTTCCATTTGATAAGTCATATTTTATAAAATAGTGCGTAAGTCATGGATGCATCTTTTCATAGCTGAATTTGTAATCCAGATATGCTACAGTGTGCCAGAATTAAGGTTGCCCAAGTAATATAAGTTTGATTTACTTGATGTGTAAGGTTTTGTAAATACATGTTCATAATGGGTGCCTTCCTGAATTTCTGCACACTAAGTTGCTACATTCCATCTAGAAAGAAGCTTCTTCAATTTTTTGGTGAAACACAGACTATCTCTAAGTGGTAAAATACTTTTCCAAATGCAAAACAGTTCCCACAGATGCCCCATGGAAAGAAGTCAGTCCTTCTTCTTCAATCCCAGTAATATCTTCCTCCCCTCAAGTCCTCATAAAGACTTCTGTAGGTTAGTGGTTCTCAACCTTTTGTATACCAAGACCTGTTTATAAACAATGATGACCAATCCCAACCCAGTGTCCTTCACTCCTGAGCCTCTAGACCCCTCCCCCAGGCCTCCAGTGTGGGGCAGGTGAGGGTAGTGTGTGGAGCATGGGGGGGCCCAAGCAGCCCCTTGCAGGCTGGAACTCTGCCAGCCTGCAAGGGAAAAACCAGTTTCCCACATTTTTCTCCTTTACAGAAGAATCTATGTTTAAAGCCTGCTGATCCATTTTTAAAGTTTGTTCACAACCCTTTCATATATTCTTGCACACAACTTTTGGGTTGTGACCCATGGGTTGAGAAATGCTGCTATCTGTGACTCCTACCTGGCAGCTAGTTCTTCCATGAGCAGCATTGGTGGCAAGTGGATCATCCTGTGGCATTTGGCTATGGACTGGGTGAAGAGTGGCCTTCCTGGTGATGATCAGTCGGAGAAGGGTTCCTTTTGTTATCCATGTCCCAAGCATGATCATAAAATAAAAAAATATACTATGTAAAAACACCGAATCCAAGAAAATCCTTATTCAAAACAGTTCTTTGATCCTGTAGAGGAGAAAGTGAAAAAGACTCCATGACAAAGTCTACTAGAGACTTTGCTGTTGTTGATTTTACATGGAAGGCACCCCCAGATATTGAGGTATTGGATAGCAGCATCAGACTTTTAGATAGGCAAGTTCATGGATGAATGTATGGAAGGATGCAACTAATTTATTTAATCAGCTTCCCGTTACTAAGATCTTGTTTGGACCCTTTCTGCATTGCCTGTTTTCTGCACCTTGCAGTGATATGTTATGCTGCTACCTTGGCCCTCTAATACTATCTGGACTCCCAGTAATGTGTCTAAGCAAAGAATGCTTATCAAAGCATGGATCAAATAGCAGCAATCATATGGTTTCAGTGCTAGTGAATCATGATTCTCTATCCTGCCCCCACTATACACACACACAGAGTACCTGATTATTATAGTTCCTGCCCAGTGTGGACATTTTCTGGGCTGTACCTCTGTTCAGGGTAAAATTTGACATTATAATTTCAGGGTGATGTTTACCTTTAGGCACCTGTTGCAGCAGTTCAGTGTTGGACCTCTGCCATGTACTAAACAACCACATCCATGAAACATCCATGAAACAGGAGGTTAGTAATCAAGTTCCACTGCTGCTAATACAAGCTGACAGGCTCAATTCTGTCCAGTCACAGTGCTTGCACTGCCTTAACATTGGTTGTGTCAATATGCGTCACAGGCAAGGGTCTGTGAAGCCCTACCAGGTGGTGATTGTTGGCTTAGAAATGGTATTTGAAGATCTGTTTTTTTGGGGGAATTGGCTTATAGGTATAGATATATGCATTATAAGAGTCCAAGATGGGCAGCAGGGGTTAAATGGATTTCTAAAGAGCCTGGGAGACACACACACAGCTTCTCATGGCTCTGGAAGCAGACAGGCTATCTAGCACAACAAGGCCAATGGATGGACACAGCCTAAGAACTGAGAAGGGTATCCCATAACACAAGATCACAGCCTTCAAGGCAGACAGGTTGTCTACTGCAACAAGGACACAGCCTGAGAACTGAGGAAGTGTGTACCATACTGTCCCATAACACGAGATAAGTGACACTGGCTACAAGGCCCCAGAGCAGCAGGGGGGCCAAGTCCCAGTTTTGCGGGGAACAGACCAAATTAGGAGAAGGTCCAGAAGGCTACGTGGATGTATGACCACAGAGAGACAGCCAACCAGAGATAGCCATGGATGAAGTCATCAGGAGTCATCAAGGGGAAAGGAGAATTCAAAAGCAGAGACTTGAGAGTAACCCATCCCTCCCATCCCTCCTTCTCTTCTCTGAGAAGGGTCCCCATCCCTATCCCCATCCCCATTCCCCAGGAAGGGTCTCCAAATCCACCATAGGCAAAGGACACACACCAGCAGCCCATCTCACACACCCTACTGGAAGGGAGCTATAGGCCTCGGCATCCCACCTCCAGATTGCTAAGACCTAAGAAAGAGAGCCTCAGAGTGGAGCCTGCATCATGACCAGATGTACCTTGACTCTGATGACAGCCCTAGGATTGGAAGATATAGAATTGCTTTATTGTTTGTATTGTTGCTTTTCTGTTATCACTCTGTATCAGTAAATTTGCCTGTTATCAACTGGGAGGTGTTGTGGTCAGTCTGAGGGTTGTGCTTGCCCAGAACAAAGGTCTAGGGATTGGGCCCAAATCCAATGCCAACAGTGATAGGAGGAAAAGTTTTTGGCCAGATTTTCAAGGTGCTCAGGAGCTTGTTTAATGGTGCACCTTACAAAGGGGAGAAGGAAGCTGTGGGGCTGAACACAGAAACAATTTCATTCCTTGTCTTTTCTCTCTCTCTCTCCCTCTCTCTCTCTCTGTCTCTCTCACACACATACACACACACACAAACATATGCACTGAGAAAGAAGAGAACACCATCTGCTGTCAGAATTATTTTCCACCGTTTTTCCTTCATGAGTAATTTTCCCTCATTCCCTTACAGCAGTTTACACTTGTAAGAAATATTTTTATTTGCCCTCATTCCCTCTCCAACCTTGAGAGCACTCTTCCTTGCTGTAAGCCCTTGCTCAGGCTTCCTGCTTCCGGCTGGGAGCTTCAGTGATCTGCCTCTGAGATGGGGGTCGCCCAGCAGTGTTATACCACTTGTACCAAGGAGAAGGGGAAGTATTGGGAAACCTTCTCTTCAGATGGAAGGTGTGTTGTTTCAGATTCCCTGGAACGTGGCCAGAACTGTATATTCTTTCTGTTTTCTGCACAGGCTCCCATGCAGGCTTCAGCCCCCGCCCCCCTTCTGCTTTGATGCAGAAAGCTGTTTCAAAGTACTAGGCTCTAGTACAAAAAGAAACTCTGTTTTTCTTTTCGGGGCTGGCTGGCTGGCTTTCAAATCAAATTGCATCTCTGCTTGACCTCCCATCTGCCCTTCTTGCCAGCTCTCTGTTTAGTCACAACGGATATTTGTGAAACGACTGACTCACTCTATTATAAATAGTGGAAAACAACATGTGGGCAGAGTCTGAAAAGACAATAGCAGTTTCTTATCCTATAGTTCCTTTCCTCCTCCAGTATTTTCCAACTCAGCTCTCTCGTCTGGTTTTGGATTTGGTGCTGGGCACAAATTCCATTCACTTGAAGTATTGAGAGGTTTAATGTGGATTCTCTCTAATATGACTGGGAACATAATGTACCCTCTACATATATTACATGTGGTCTTTATGCCTTCTCTAGGAACTGTACACTTACATGGCAATGTTTCCCCCCAAGTATCTCATTTAATAGAATTGTTTCTACCACTATTTTTTCCTCCCTTCTGGTATCCTGCAGTCCTGTTTGTAGAGAATCTTGAATCAGAGAAATTAAGGCTAAAGACACATTTTGATCCCCTAGTATTACTTTATGCAGGGTTCAAATTACAGGGGAGCTTAGGGAGGCTGAGCCCCACATAAGAGACAAGAACCCCTCTGTAAGATTTGAAAATCATAACCTGGGGAGGTCTTTAATTTTATTAGGGCATCATGATGGGCAGCCCAGGTTTTTTTTGCAACCGCGAAGAGTCAAAGTGTAATTCAAACCCTGACCTCATGTACTTCAAAAGCTGATAAATTTTACTTTCAAGCAATTTAGCTGAGCCCAACATGCCTTCCTGGGTTCTTCAGTAAAACAGATTAGTGTTTAGATTTGTAGTATTCAAGTAACAGGCAATCCACTACTTCCCTGTGGAGTTGCACTAGTGGTTAGCTGCCCTCAATGGTAAAATGTGTGTTTTATTCCTAATTTGAAATTGTCTGCCTTCAGCTTCCAGCCTTTGGTGGTGGTTGGTAATTTTTTTCTTCAGAATAATTTCTTAGTACCTAGTATTTTTTTTCTGAAAGTATTGATACAATGTAACCAAATTGCTTTTCAATCTATTTTTTTATGGAGCTGTCAGAGTATATGGCATTTTCTCCAATTCTTGAATCATTTTTGTGGCTGTTTTCTGAAGTCTCCAATTTTTACCTTCTTGTTTGAGTAGTTAAAAAAGATAAAATCAACCAAAATGAAAATGAACCATGGAAGGAAGGAAGAATACAGAGAGGAAAAAGTTGAGTTTTGTGAGAATTACAACTATTCTAGTATCAGTCTTACCATTTTACGGAAGTAAAATTACTCTCCTACTCCTCTTTTTTATCCATTGGTTCTTTCTGGCAGTGAATTGAAGTGGCAGCCCATGATGACTTGCTTGTCCATTATGATCACTAAATTCTTTTCAAAATCCCTGCTTCCCATTATACAATTCCCTAATCTGTATGTCTACGTGCTTTCTTCCTCAGTGTATGACTTTATTATAAATTGGTC